TAAAATTATAACACAATTCAACTCAACACAACACCACACTCCCAAACAAGGCCAAAGTTAGTTATATTTTGAAAAATTTCAAATAGTTTTGTAGTAAAAAGTTTAATTCAACTAAATTCAATTAACTGAAGACATGGTGCAATACTAGGAGCTTGGACCCCCATAAACTGGGATCATTGGGCAGTCTCATTGCACCTGCATCCTTATGAAAAATAGAGATGATTGACGTTTGAAACTTGAAATAGAGGAGAGAACCTGATTCCATGGGTCAGTACTGTTTATTCCATTGAGCGTCACAGTACACCCACATATGTTGGAGAGAATCAAAGATATTTTTCAAGCTGAACAAAAGTTAAAACACAGCTCTCATCAATCATTTCCTCCTTAATTTCTATTAGCTCTAATCTTTGTTACTTGTCACCATACAATTTTTAAGTGATATTTTGTTATATTATATACTCTCTTTGTTTTAAAATAATGATTATTTTGGTATTAACTTCTTGATATTCATAATCACGTTGAATTTCAATTAAATTAAAATTGAGTCATGTCAGACTTTATAAAGAAAAAACTTCTCTCAATATTTGTTTTTCCATTCACAAGATTCAAACTCAAAATTTTATTTTAAAAAAATCGAATTTCTTTTGCTCCAACTAATAAGTTGTTAGTCTTAAAATAATGATTGTTTTTTATCTTTTATTTAAAGTAAAGATTTAGTGACAATATTAGTGTTTATTTATATTATTATTAAAAAGAAAAAAAATAAATAATCACTTTATCTTTGCGAAGATAGAGTTGATCTTCCAAGGAAGAGGCTTGGTAACTTGTTGTACAGATAGAGAGAATATGAGAGAGAGAAGGGGAGTCAGAGAGAGGAGCGATGGATTCGGAGCTAGAGGAAGAAGGACATCATGGAATTGGGAAAGATTCAATCAAAGGAGAGGGATCCGTCAGGAGCAGAAACACGAGGCAGAAGCAGCTCACAGGAACAGACGGAGGAACCAAGACATCTGGGGCTACGATCGACGTATATACAACCAAGCCACTGTCTTCTTCTTCACAAACTTTCCTGACGAATGGAGCTATGAAAACATGTGGCAAACTTTCCGAAGATTTGGAAGAGTATTGGCCATTTATAGCCCACCGAGGAGAACAAGGAGGGGGAGCAGGTTTGGTTTTGTCAGATTCCTGGAGGTTAAAGATGAATGGGAACTGGAGCACCAATTAGACCAGATCCGAATAGGAGACTTCAAACTTTGGGTCAATAGACCAAAGTTTACGGAAAAGGAAAGCCACAGAGATTCGGACCATAGGCTTTGCAAAAAAGAAGGTGTAAGAGGGCAAAGGTCCTATGCCGATGTTGTGAAGGGAAACAGCGAAGAAGAGTCAAATCGGGTGAATAAACCAGAAGCAACAAGAGATCCATCTCTATGGCAACAAAAGAGAGGCGACAGGAAAAAAAGCCAGTCACAAGTCTGGTTACCGAAGGACAAAGAACAGGTGAAGCATAGCTTAGAGTTCAAGGTGCAGGAGGAAGACTTATCTTGGCTGGAAGGATGCTACGTTGGGGTAGCTCACTCAGTAGAGATAATCCCGAACTTACAGGAAAAATTCTTTATGGAAGGCTACTTCTCCTGTAAAGTAAGAGCAATGGGAGGAAAACTAGTGCTATTTGAGGGAGGAGACAAAGAGGAGATTAAGGATCTGGTTGAACAGGCATCTCAATGGCTAGGACAATGGTTTTCGGAGGTTAATCCTTGGAATACATCAATGGTTTCCAGAGAAAGATTTGTCTGGTTACGATGCCAAGGGGTTCCAGCCCATGCGTGGAGACCGGATTTCTTCGCCGCAATTGGCGCAGTATGGGGTAAATTCATCACTTTGGATGACAGCACCAGTCTGAAGAAAAGATTGGACATTGGACGCCTCCTGATCTCCACTTCAGCAATGGAGTTCATTTCGAAGGTCATGAATGTCAAAGTTAATGGAGAGCCTTTCATCATTAAAGTTATGGAAGAAGAGGCCTCAAATGGCATTTTTTCTATGAAATCAGATCATTTGTTTAACTTGATGAGTGAATCTGATAATGATGCTTTGGAATCATGGTCTGTGGATAGTGATTTTGATAATGAAATTATGGAGTCCGTCCAAGAAGGCGGTGGGTCTAAGGGGGTTCGGAGCTTGCTGGATGGAAAGTTGGAAGAAGATGACGTGGATGAGGATGACATAGAGACGGACACGGAATCAAGGGGTGAGCTGGCTCATATCCGTTGGAAGAAGGAGCGGCAAAATGGAAAAGAAGACCAGATTTCGGTTGTGAATGACGTCTCGTTTAATGCTGAAGGTTACCAAGAAGATTTAGCAGAAAGCGGGGAAAAGAGAGATCATTTTCAAAACCCCGGAAATCTTGACATGACGCCAGCAGATTGGGTAACAGTGCCTGAAACCCAACCAATCGGTCAAAAGAAACAACATCCGAGGGGTGAGGACGTTGGGCCATACAAGCATGCAAACCCAATAGATCAAGATGGACGCGGGACCAAAATAATCTCAGAATTAGCCCAACAGGAGCTTTACGGGCCAGTGATCAGAGGGCCAAATGCTGTGGAAGTTTGTCACTCGAGGGAGGATGTGGGGGCTAATCCAATAAACTCTAATTGTGCTGATGTGGAAGCATCATCTCAGAAGGACCAAGAGAAGGAAAATAGTAGCACCGGCTCGAGACCTTCCCAGAGGGCGCAGAAGGAGCATAGTTTCTGGGAAGGCTTCATGACTGAATCAGGAACTGAAAAAGAGTGGATGGGGCGAAATCTTAGGAGGATAAGCAAATTTAGGAAGAAGAAAAGCAGATCCTGCGGGTCGGTGTACAGACAAGGTGCAAAAAGATCAAAAGAAAGGGAAGCCGAAGAGGGGAGGCCAAAATTCCATCCGGGATCCCAAAACCAAGTCGCAGGAGAATCCGTCAACGATAGCGGAATCGGAAACAGAAATGAGATCCTAAAGAGAGCACAGGAACCGTGTATCGCAGAGAGGATCTGGGAGTTTGCAAAGGAAATCGGAGCAGGTCACAAGGGCAATGAGCATGAGGTAATTCGAAGGATAAAGGACATGGAGGAAAGGGACAAGGAGCTGTTCAGGATATCAAAGGTTAGTACTGATGTTCTTGGGGGGACGGAGGGTATTAATCTTAAATGATTTTCTTGTCTATAAATACCAGAGGATTAGGAGGGGAGGGTAAGAAATTTGGGGTAAAAGAATTAGTTATCAAAGAGAAGGTTGAATTTTTGTCTATTCAAGTGTCAAAGACAGAGGTGGTGGACTATCAGCTATGTAGGGCCTTATGGGGCACAGAGAACTTTGATTGGGTAGCTAAGCCTTCAAGAGGGTCATCTGGTGGCTTAATTTGCATTTGGAATAAAGATATATTGAAGAAAGAAAAAATAATTGAAGGGGAGGGGTTTGTAGGGGTGTTCGGCTTTTGGGGGGCCTCGGCAATTCCGATATATATTTTGAACATATACTCTTCATGCGAAATGCTGGGGAAAAGGGCTCTGTGGACTAGTTTGGAAAATTGGATCTTGGGGACGGGAGGGAACTGGTGCT